TTGGCTCCTAGTAGTCGCGGTTCATCTGGTGAGTATCACAAACACAAAAAGACTGAAATAAATGAAATGCCTCATAATCTCTACTTTTAGCCCTCAGACTAATGTCATTGTCAAGTTAAGGGAAAAAAAACATATGCATCAAACTGCCATGCCCTGACTATCATCTTGTCTTTATTTTTATTTAGCACATACCTTAAACATTTAAAGCTGTAAGCTAATGATAGTTATATAAGAGCAGATGCATGCTGGTGCAATAAGCTGTACGTTTTATGTCCAGTGGATGTATGATCTGATTAATCGACTAATCGCAAAAATAATCGGTGACTAGTCGATTATCAAAATAATTGTTTGTGGCAGCCCTAGTCCTCTCCAGGTTCCTCCCACAGTCCAAGGACATGCAGTTGGCAGGGTTGGATTAACTGATTATTTTAAACTGTCCATAGGTGTGAATGTCAGTGTGAATCGTTGTCTGCCTCTCTGTTTCCCTTTCATAAAACAGCCACCCTTCCACTGGGGCCATTTCTGATCAGGCTTAGAACCTTAGAACCTCTAAGGATACTTCTAAATTGAAGACCTTTCAGAATGTTTTTATTTATTTTTTTCAGTTTATTAATGGGATAATGTACCTGTAATACTATCGGAGACTATGGTAAATTTTTACAACTACCTGCAAAAGGCTAATGGGGTAGGTTCTCAGTCATCAAGGTCATGGTAGTCTAAGGAGCTTGGAATCTAAGTTAATGGACTTCTTTAAGTTTCTTGAAGATGTTTCACCTCTAATCTGAGAAACGTCTTGAGTTCTAGAACCAAATGAGAATTTTCACCAAGCATGACATCCCAGTCCACTTCAGACCCAGCCACACCTCTACATCACAGAATCCAAACAGCCATACTATAAACACATGACATAGAAGAGCCATCTTGACGGGACAAGACTTGGCTGTACAACTGGATCTAAAGGTCAAAGGTCACTCTGTCAAGGATGGCAATGTTCACATTTTGGAAACAGAAGAAAGATAATCTGAAAGAGGAGTAAAAGAAGCTATTTATGTCTACTGTGAATGACCATCTTTGAACAGAGGGGGTTGCTTACAACACCAACTGTCTGCCACCTACAAACCAGCTTTGAGATCCCTTCCCAGCTCACCCCCCACTTACATCTAGCATCAGGTGAAGCAAGGTCCCACAGTGGTTTAACCCAAAAACCTCTTGTGATAATGACCCATGCCTTTTTCACACTTTGGCTCATGTGATGAGTCACATGATTAATAGTCCTCTTAAGGGACCTCCACTTAATGCTAAAATATAATCATTAATATTATCCCTGAATTTTCAAATGTACTCTTACAAAAACATACAAAAGTATATAATAAAAACAGATATTTCCTTCTTATATGTTACTGTTTATTTTTAGTCATGCAACAGCACACCCCCAGAGGAGAGAGAGGAGAGAGTGGACATCCTGGAGCAGGTGAAGTGCTTAACAAATTTATTAGATCACCCAATACAAGGTTTATGCATCTGCTGCTTTAGATTAACAGTATTGGTAACTACCAATTTTTTATTTTTATTTTTTTTTTTGGGGGGGGTGGAATAATTAATCCAACAGTATATACAAGCTATTTAATCAAAATCATATTGTTAATGCTAAAATATATTCATTAATATTATCCCTGAATTTTCAAATGTACTCTTTTACAAAAAATAGTATTTCATAAAAACAGATATTTCCTTCTTATATGTTACTGTTTATTTTTAGTCTTGCGCGAGCATAACCCCAGAGGAGGGAGAGGATACCTTGCACCAGGTAAAGTGCTTAACAAATTTATTAGTCCGTCACCCAATGCAAGGTTTATGTAACTGCTGCTTTAGATTAACAGTATTGGTAATTACCCAAAAAACCTGTGTGCACAGTTTTAATGCGTAATTTTACTGGGTTTCCTAACATCTGTTCTTCTAGTGAAGCATTCAAAGCTTTTATATGAATTTATATGTAATATCAGGTTTTGCATTTGTGGGGTAATAGAATAGAATACAATGCTTTTTATTGTCACTGTACACATGCACAATGAGATACAGAGCATCTCCTTCTCAGTGCAGACATGTAGGAAAAGAAACGGGGGGGCACCGTTTTGCAGCACTATATACATATGAACAGTATTCAAAAAACATCAAATGTATAAATATATAATGGGGAAAAACAAATAGGGTTATATATTTACTGTGTGGGTTATTGCACGTTAATTAAATATTACACAGTAGTGATGGTAAAGAGTGTAGTCTGGGTGTAGAGGGTAGTCCTTGGATTGGGAGGTGGTATTGTATTGTCAGTGCAGCGTGGTTATGGCTTTTTGGAAGAAACTATTTACGCTGCATCTGTAGTGTTTCCCTGAGTGAAGTAGGTTGAACAGGTCAAAACCAGTGTAGGAGCTGTCTTTGATAATGTTTGTCAACAACATTTCTAACAAGTTGAAGTGCAAAAATTAGAATTTATGTACAAACTATGTTTACAGAGTGGCACTGAGTTGTGAGACTCAATATATACGTGTCTTTATTTATTTATTTAAAGCAGTGGTTAGTATCAGGATGTGTTTATAAACTCAATATGCAACATAAAGACTTAAAATATTAGTGTATGTGATTAAATGTATTTACAGTTGTTCTCCCTGATGTCCAATCTGCTGTTGTTCATCTTTCACGTGATACTACTACTCTGGAATCCACTGATGGTATTGTATTGCCTTGATGTCATTCAGGTTGATAAAAAAAATAATAGTAATTGTTTTGGTTTGGCTTCTTTTGTTTGTTTGCTTTTTTTGTATTGCAAGTTCCAAACAACCCATGATGTACTCAGATATGCAGCAAATTACATACTTTTTTTCTGGAAGGAAACTCCAAACATGGGCTGTTTTTCAAATCTCTTCATTAACCATAAAACAAAAAGAAAAGCAAACAAAATTGTAAGAATAATATGTTATATAAATCAGGCTCTGCATAGTATGTATGAACAAATGTGTATTTTTTGGATTCCTGGCTCAGGGGTTATAAAGCACATTTTGGGTAAAAAACCTGGGGTGAATATTTAATTTCACTAAAAATGTTCTAACACTGTGTACCTCTGTATCTCTAGTTCCTGTACTCCACAGGTTTTTGCTAAAAGCTGAGAATCAGACTGTTCCACTATGCTTTGATGTCAGTGGACCTGTCCGCCTTAAACTTCTTCACTATCCCAGCAGGGGTCAGTAGTGTTAGCTTTTTCCATCCTAATATTTTTTTCCTTTTCAGTGTAATATAAACGAATATTTTTCTTCCCCATTGTTATTTTTCATAGGAAAACTCCAGTTTGTGGTATAAGATGAGCATTTCTCTTTTCTTCTAGAACTGTCTGTAAATGGTGAGCTTGATTCAGTTACAAATGGAGGCTTCAGCAGAATTTTCATACACGTCAAAGACAGCCAACATGTTGAGATCGACACCAACTGGGTCACTGTACGAGATGGACAGACAGTGACATATTACACTGGACAGGATCGCATTACAGCTGGAAGGTGATGTTGTATTATCATGGTCGAGACTCGTGCTCTCAGCAATAAGCACAGATGTGTGACCTTATTCACCTGTGTTATCAAGATTTACATGAGAAGACTGTCTCTCTCAGCACCTATATATGTTAGCTGACATCTCTGAGGCTGAAACCCCTAAAAAGTTTGTTTTTTATTTTGTGTTGATTATTGAGCAGATGAGATGTGATTTCAGTAAGGACAGATCATTTGAAAGCACTGGTAATTCATTGAAGTAAAGAGTATGAATTATAAGCTATTTGGTGATTAGACATAGTGTAACAGATCAGAGTCAATGTTAGGAGGGTACATGCGAATGGTGGATGAGGTAAAGCAATTGGAAGAGGTGGGTCACATGAAGGAGTCCGAAAAGCAAAATGATAAGAGGCTGTGAGATTTAAAACACACAGAACAGAGATTAGCTGGCTCAGAAAAGGAAAGCGAAAGCAGGAACATGATTGTTTCTCACATGAGTGGATTTGAGTAAAGCCCAAATGCACGAGAATACAGGCAGACGAGTGCATACAGATTTTTACTTTTTATGCTGAGGTAGGCTGCAGTCCATAGATTTACATTTACTTATAGACTTATGTTTACTTATTAGAAACCAAGCCAGCACTGTGTCAGATTGAGGACCTGTCCAGGGTGTACCCCAACTTTCAAGGATAGGCTCCAGCTCCTAGTTCCTAGGAATAAAGTGGAAGAAAATGCATGGATGGGTGGAAATAATTATTTGTTCAAGCCATGGACTGAAGAATGAAAATGGCAGGGGCAGACATGAAGTAGAGTTTGTCATGAATTCACTGTCATAAATTCACTTTTACAAAAGATGCTAACATTAAAGTCCCTGTACTTTATGCACTGCACTGCTGTTTAATCAGAGCAGGCTAAATTCATCCAAGTAGCATGCATGATCTGTGCAGGTGCCTTGAACCGTTACGTTTTTTTAAAAAAGTTGAGTAACTCCATGTTTTTCCAGTGTGACAGTGATTGTGCGCAACAACGAAATAGACGTTGCCACTGGAGACATGCGAATGGTCATCATAGTTCATGAGAAGAATGGCCAAAAATTATTTTGGCCAGTTTTAAGACGGCGTCCCTCGGACAACAATGCTGAAGGACTTTTAGGTGAGTGAAAAGCTGTGTGTGTTTGTGATCTGTAGGTTGCGAACGAAACGGCTCTTAGAGCCACCTCTTTGAAGTGAACAACGCAAGCTTCTTTTTTTTTTTTTCTTTCTCTCACCCTCTCTCGCATTTTTTTCCCGCTTCACTCTGCACGCGAGCCCTGTGCTTGCACTGGGGAGAGGGGGGAGAGACGGTAGTTACACTGCAGTAGCACAGGAACAGAGTGGGAGGGAAAGAGAGCCAGGGACAACAACGTCACATTAGAAAGGTAGAGTAATCATCCACAACTATTTTCAGTTGCGGATGATAAAGGATTCAGAAAGTTTATTCATGCAGGAGGCACTACAGCTTAGTTGTTCCCCCCTCCTTTGTCCTCCTGTTTCCCCTCCCTCTCCCCTCCAGAGAGGAGTTAAACAGTCTGATGGCGTGTGGGACAAAGGAGTTTTTAAGTCTGTTAGTTCTTGTCTTGGGGAGAAGCAACCTGTCACTGAACAGACTCTTCTGGTTGTTAATGGCCGTGTGCAGAGGATGCCTGGCATTGTCCATAATGTCCATCAGTTTCTTTAATGTCCTTTTCTCTGCCACTGTCACCAGAGTGTCCAGCTTCATGCCGACCACAGAGCTAGCCCTCCTGATCAGTTTTGCACAGCAGCATAACCATTGCATTTGACCTACTTCCTCCCAGTGGTTCATGGGAGGCATGTTTTGAATTTCTTGTACATCAACCTCCCCAGCAGGAGGGGCTTACAGCTGTTGTACAGAAGAGCTCGCAAACAAGGTTAGGGAATAGTTTGGATTCTTTATTCATTCGCTTGATATCCATTCCATAAACTGTTCTGAGGAAGTCATGAAATTATGCAAGAAAAATAACAGCATTATATTTGTCAGAGATCCTTGAATCAAGTCAGCCTCATTACATGTCATTTGCAGTTTGAGGCTAAAGACAAAACAGAAGAGATGTTTTAAAAAGTTTTCTCTCTCAATGTTCTGGTACTTAACCAGGATTCAGAAATATTTGAAATTGTTATTTATAAGCAAACCTTCTACAATCCAACTCTCTTCCAGATCAGCCAGCAAAGCTGATTAACATTTAGCTATAACAATATGATTACTGTAGTTTAAACTTATAAAATTAATTTTTTTATTTTTCAACGAATTTAAAAAATAAAGGTGTAGAAGTATGCCTGTTATTGTCATCTCAACTGCATTTGTGTCATTTTGGACGCTATGTTAATGGCAGATGGTGGTAATCATAAATCCTGATTTATGTATGTTATTTTTAATTGGTAATGCTGTCTGACACTAGATCCACATTCAGTTATATTTCTACATGTTGGAAACAGATGGAAAGAAAGTTTCCACAATATATGTTTTTGCCTTGTTTTCCTTTTAAATTAAAGATTTTTCAAATAAATCAACATATTTGCCAGTTAAAGCTGTGTAATGACAAACTGGAACAGTGGTCTCTGAAGGGCAGAGTTCAGCAGACGTGAGCCAAGCAGTCATTGTGACGAGGAGAGACAAGCTGGTTAGTACAACATCTCGTCACTCAAAAGAAAGAATAAAGAGATCATTAATCTTTGTAGAAATGGCTGGATTCTAAAGCAAAACAAAAACATAAATACAAAAAAGAAAAGAAAATATACCCAGTAACGTCTGCCTCCTGGTTTTTGATCTTTAGTTTTCTGACAGGAGCTTGCTGTACCTCCTCATAAACTGCAGCCTCTACAGCTGAAAAGAGAGAGTGAGACAAGAGCTAAGATTGAAAACCAATGCAGCAAGGACACACACGCATGCAAAAACACAAGTGATGGGATTTCCAGCTCTTTTTAGAGAACTGGCTCTTTCGGCTCACTAAAAAGA